CTAGACTATAGACTATCTTACTCGACTAAGACTAGACTAGAGACTAGACTATAGACTAGACTATAGACTAGACTATAGACTAGACTATAGACTAGACTATAGACTAGACTAGAACTAGACTATAGACTAGACTATAGACTAGACTATAGACTAGACTATAGACTAGACTCTAGACTAGACTATAGACTAGACTATAGACTAGACTATAGACTAGACTATAGACTAGACTATAGACTAGACTATAGACTAGACTATAGACTAGACTATAGACTAGACTATAGACTAGACTATAGACTAGACTATAGACTAGACGATAGACTAGACGATAGACTAGACTATAGACTAGACTATAGACTAGACTATAGACTAGACTATAGACTAGACTATAGACTAGACTATAGACTAGATTAAAGACTAGATTATAGGCTAGACTATAGACTAGACTATAGTCTAGTCTAGTTTATAGTCTAGCTTTATTGTAAGTAATGTTTCGCGAATTTTTTAAATTCCCATAAAAACTACTTTATATGGCAACCCTTACACAGGATCGATAAGCCAGTAGGTAGTATGTGTTATTCAAAAAATATACTTTTTTAAATTTCATTAATACCTGTCCAGTTATTGTCAAGAATTTGCTGAAATAAGTTGAAAATAACTTTTTGAAATATTGTTTAAAATTAACTTTACAAAACATGTTAGTTTTAAGTGTTTGCATTTCTAAACAAAAGCGAAAAATATGAAATATAATAATTTTTAGACTAAGTGGAAAAATGTAAGTAAAAAATCAGAAATAAAACTTACAAAAAACTAGGTTACTTTGGATAATTAAAATTGACATATGCATATTAAAGTTGCGTGTCCAATAATATTTAAGCAGAGAAAGTGACAAATTTCTACGAGAAAAAAAACTCGGTCAGTTTTTGTTAGTTTTAATGTTAGAAGTTGATGAAAGAATGAATGAATGAAAGTGTTTTAAAGAAGTGTAAATATTAAAACAGGTGTAAAAAATTGTGATGTAATGAATGTGTACATTGTACATACACATGTATGTATGTTTGTATTCTCCTTAAAGAATTTTCTGAGGTGTTTGCACAACCTGTTGAAAAAAGAACAGACTATTAAAAAATTTGGGTTATTTTTACTTTTTCTTTCTTAAGGAATCTTTATTGGTCTGCAAGTCATCTGTTAATCATGTTTTTTTTTTTACTGCTATTATGAATATTTAATGAAAATGTGTTACATGTTTATTTCTTTAGATTTCCTCATCAAAGGGACTGAGTACTTCCTTGTTAACACAACATTATATTTAAAATATTAATTTTACGTTTCATTTGCCTTCTCACGCACTGCCGACAAAAAGTCATAAATAGGTTTCTTTGTTGTATAAATATTTAAAGGAGAGTATAAAGCTGTTCTAGTTTATTCATATTAATTTAAGTTTTTTTATATATAAAAGCAATGTACTTCCTAATTAACCTAAATAATTAATTTAATGTAGAAAATTTTCATTAATAAATACTAGAAGACTGAAAGTTAAAACTAGTTTCTATGAAAATGTATCCGTTTATAATTAATTTAAAACATTTTTCATTACATTTTATTTTAAACTAAAAATAAAACTTTATTTAACTAGAAATTTGATTAATATTAAATTTTGATTTACTTAAAACTTTTAATGGATTAAAAATGAGTTTAAAATATAAAGATAAAGCACATCAAAGTTTTAATGTTAAAAGTTTGAAATGTTCCATTTAATGAGAAAAACTGAAATGGGTTCTTATACTTAGATGTTAACGGGTTCACATGATTAGGACTTATTCGGCCTGCATTGCGAAAAAAGCAGTAAATACCTAGTATATGTTAGATCGAATGATTTCAAATCAATTGTTCTGTAATTGGTACGAGTTTTCTAATGCCCTATTAGGAATGACTGGCATTGTCCTACATGTAACTAAGTAACTAACTAACTAACTAAGTAACTAACTAACTAACTAACTAACTAACTAACTAACTAACTAACTAACTAACTAACTAACTAACTAACTAACTAACTAACTAACTAACTAACTAACTAACTAACTAACTAACTAACTAACTAACTAACTAACTAACTAACTAACTAACTAACTAACTAACTAACTAACTAACTAACTAACTAACTAACTAACTAACTAACTAACTAACTAACTACTAACTAACTACTAACTAACTAACTAACTAACTAACTACTAACTAACTAACTAACTAACTAACTAACTAACTAACTAACTACTCTAACTAACTAACTAACTAACTAACTAACTACTAACTAACTAACTAACTAACTAACTAACTAACTAACTAACTAACTAACTAACTAACTACTAACTAACTAACTACTAACTAACTACTACTAACTAACTAACTAACTAACACTAACTAACTAACTAACTACTAACTACTAACTAACTAACTACTAACTAACTAACTAACTAACTAACTAACTAACTAACTAACACTAACTAACTAACTACTAACTAACTAACTAACTAACTAACTAACTAACTACTAACTAACTAACTAACTAACTAACTAACTAACTAACTAACTACTAACTAACTAACTACCTAACTAACTAACTAACTAACTAACTACTAACTAACTAAACTACTAACTAACTAACTAACTAACTAACTAACCTAACTAACTACTAACTAACTAACTAACTAACTAACTAACTAACTAACTAACTAACTAACTAACTAACTAACTAACTAACTAACTAACTAACTAACTAACTAACTACTAACTAACTAACTAACTAACTAACTACTAACTAACTAACTAACTAACTAACTAACTAACTACTAACTACTACTAACTAACTAACTAACTAACTAACTAACTAACTAACTAACTAACTAACTACTAACTAACTAACTACTAACTAACTAACTAACTAACTAACTAACTACTAACTAACTAACTAACTAACTAACTAACTAACTAACTAACTAACTAACTAACTAACTACTAACTAACTAACTAACTACTACTAACTAACTAACTAACTAATAACTAACTAACTAACTAACTAACTAACTAACTAACTAACTAACTAACTAACTAACTAACTAACTAACTACTAACTACTAACTAACTAACTAACTAACTAACTAACTAACTAACTAACTAACTAACTAACTAACTACTACTAACTAACTAACTAACTACTAACTAACTACTACTAACTAACTAACTAACTAACTAACTACTAACTAACTAACTAACTAACTAACTAACTAACTACTAACTAACTAACTAACTAACTAACTAAAACTAACTACTAACTAAAACTAACTAACTAACTACTAACTACTAACTAACTACTAACTAACTAACTAACTAACTAACTACTAACTAACTAACTAACTAACTACTAACTAACTAACTAACTAACTAACTAACTAACTAAACTAACTAACTAACTAACTAACTAACTAACTACTACTAACTAACTAACTAACTAACAACTAACTAACTAACTACACCTAACTAACTAACTAACTAACTAACTAACTAACTACTACTAACTAACTAACTAACGAACTAACTAACTAACTAACTAACTAACTAACTAACTACTATACTAACTAACTAACTAACTACTAACTAACTAACTAACTAACTAACTAACTACTACTAACTAACTAACTTTATACAAAACTAAGTTCTGTAGATTTTTGTGCATATACTAGGGCTCAAAAGCCCTATTAAGGGGGTACGTTTGTATGGGGGTTAGATGAAAATTATGAACCAATTTCAATAGGCTTTGTATAGGAAAGGTATGTGTCAAATTTCATCATCTTATCTTGAAAATTGCGACCTGTAGCGTGCAAGATTTATACGGACACACAGACGGACATAGCTTAATCGACTCAAAAAGTGATTCTGAGCCGATTGGTATACTTTAAGGTGTATGGCCAATATTTTTGGGTGTTAGAAAACATCAGAACTCCCCATTATAGTGGTGTAGGGTACAATTCAAAGTAAAACATTAAATTTTCATGAAACCATTATGCCAGCCTTGCAGTAAATGAGCTATATGTTCAAAAAAGACACAACTACGTTCTATATAAGCCTAATGATACTATCAAATTTCGTACAAGTTGGGTCTCATTTCACCCTATCCCTCATACAATGCCCCCTTGAGAAAATGCTGGAAATCGTACCGACGACCTCTGGTCTAATGCACTAGAACACTAACCATTAAACCAGCGGTAAGGTATAAATTGATCTAATTATAATAGTTGGCCTATTTAAGGTCTGATAGGTCTTAGATGAGATGACCTAAAAGATAACATTTTATTGAAAATAAACTCTGTTTATCAGTAGATGTAAAACATAAACATGATTTATATACTTTATACCAATCGAATTTTGCCAGGAAATTTAAAAGTTTGACCTTTTCGTATGACCTTTGGAAGCTTTTAAGAAAGATTACTTTTTTTAAAGAAAAAAAAAATTTACTTAGAAATTAAAACATTTTTAATGTTAACTTTATACATATTTATCATATTATCTTAATTGTAAAGGTTAAAAGATATTTATTTACAAACCAATGAATTTTTAAAATTTAATTTGAAGAAAGTTAAAGGTCTACATATTAATAAGAATAAAGAAACGTACACAAACAAACATTTTACTCTACTCGAGTTTATAGTTAAAACTCAATTTAAAATTTATTACAATTTCAACGTAATAATAATTTTTCTGGGAAAAAGCACGTGACCTTTAGCTTTTAAAGGAAAAGAAATTTAATAACAAATTTAAAGCAATTATCATAATGAAGAAAACGAAATTTAATAATATTTATGAACAAACAACATTCATTCACTTAAACATCCATCATCAGATGGATGATGCATCCATCTAGATACTCAAACTTGTATATTTATTTATCGATATTATGCAGTGATAGATAAACTTTTAATATTTAATATTTTTATGTCTCATTTTAGAAATCAACGATTATGCTGTATTGGTTGGCATTGATCCAGTTAAAGAAACACATTTGCTGTATTTGGCTAAAGAAGGTTTAATGCAGGCCCTGCCCGATGATTGGAAAATATGGTAAGTTTTTATGCAAGGACATGAAATTCATAATAATAAGGACATGAAATCAACAATAATAAAAACAAAGCCAAAAGTATCCTTTGTATAGTTAGAGATATTTATATGAGTTTTTTTTTGTCTCTCTGTTTGTTCTAGTTATTCAGAGGAAAAATGTGGTCATTATTATTATAATCTAAAAACAAAAACCTCACAATGGGAACATCCACTCGACGATGTTTATCGTAATTTAGTAGAACAAGCAAGACAAAAGCATCAAAATGCGGCAGCTTTACAATCACAAAACAATACGACGAATGTCATCATCAGCGCCCTCACTAATACCACCAATTCAACGACAACCTCAATAGCTCCTACAACAACCACTACCAATGTGGTGGATAATTCAGATGATGCCTCACAATTAGATTCGGGTATACGTAGTTTACAGGGCACCGATGAATGTGATAATACTACCAATACTTTGGAAATGTCTTCACCCAGTACAACGCAAATGACTCAGGGAGCTATACCTAAACAGAGTAACACGAGTATGGGAGGTGGCAATGGTAGCAGCGGTTGTGGTAGTTTAACTACCAACAACTCCTCTTCTTCCTCTAACACTCCCAGTGGTTTTAGTGGTGGTGTTAGTCGTTTCTTGGAATCGAGAACGAAAAATTTTGGTTCCACTTTTATGCCGGTAAAGAATACTCGCTTTGAAGTGGCCAAAACAAATCCCCAGTTAGGTTTCAATATGCGTTTGTCTAATGATAATATATTGCAAAAGTTCCCATTGGCCAATAAGCCGGAAACAGATGCCTTAAGCCTCAATGAAAAGAAAGGTTTTACTTTGTCGGGCACAGGAGCTATGTTTTTAAAATCACGTCGCCAAATGGAAGTGGGTTTAAATCAGGCTTCTGCCATTATCACCAATCCGCACAATATTGTCAGTAATAGTTCCAATGTTATAGTGGAGGGCATGGCTGGTACACCTCCAGGTGTGAAAGGTATTTTACGTGATTCCAGTTTGACTGACATGCGTAGACGCATGGAAAAGGATAATCATGAGGAGACAGGCGATGAAAAAAGGCGTGTACATTTTAATTTAGAAGATTGTTCCAAGAATCGACATTCACCCGAGGAAGATCCTAGTAGTTCGAGAAAATTGACTCAAAGTCCTGAAGTATCGGCCAATTCGGATGATGATGCTGAAGATGATGATCCCTGGGATGATGACGATGAAGATGATGGTGAGGAGCTAAATGATTGTGTGGGTATTGGCAGTTTGCCTTTAGATGGTGTGGCCTATCAACGTAGCCTTAATCCATTCCTTATCAATGATGAAAAACATCTCAAAGAGGTTAAGATAATACCTGTTTCCAAGACTCAAACTATACAAATGTTAAAAGCTCAAAGCTTTTCTATGGATTTGCCTGAACGTGAAAAAGCCAAAGTCACCGATTTGACTAGATCGCAAAGTGTGGAACATGCTCAAATCTCAGTCAATAACTCAGCCGTGCAATATTTGGATAAACTGAAAGAAACAACCACAGTTAAACCTCTTTACGAGGATACCGATTCCGATTCTAAAGGCAGTTCCGTTAGAAGCTTTATAATCAACAAATCCGAACAAGATTCTTTACAGTCGGCGGTTCCATCCAACAATCCTTTCGATTTAGATGAACTAGATCGTAAACACAGTCGTGAGGTGGAACAATTGGAAAAGAAATTACAATCGGTCAATAGTGAAAAATCGGCCGCAAGATCCCTAAAAGTGGCTTCCAAAATAGTGAGTTTCCTAAAGAAAGACACCGAGAAAGTGGCGGAAAAAAACTAAAGAGGAGGAAATGGATAAGACTGCCGATAATATGCAGGAAAAATTGGAGAAAGAAAAACAACTATGGCTGAAAGAAGAACGTGAGCGTTTGGAGGAACAATTGCAAAAAGAAATCGATTTGATTAAGAAAGAACATGAGCAGAAACTGAAGAGTATACGTCATGAATATGACTTGCGTTTGACCTCACATCGCCATCAAATGGAGGAGGCTATCGAGTTGCAATTTGAGGAAATACGCCATCAATTGGAAGAAGAATTGGATACTAAACGCAAGGCAGTGGTAGATGAACATAAGGCGCAAATGTGTACCCTACAAAAGAATCATGCCGAGATATTGGAAGACTTAGAAAGAGACCTCAAGAGTGAGGAGGAGATATTGAAAAAGGAACATGCCTTGAAACTAAACGAAATGAAGGATAAACTTAATCATGAACTAGAGCTAGAGAGACAAAGAATGCGAGACAATGGCGAAGATAGACTCTATGAGAAAGTGCGCTGTGAAAAACGTCTTCTAGAAGATAAATATAGATGCCTCAAGGAGAAGTATATAAGACTAAAGACCGATGTTAAACTATCATTGGAAAGAAGAAATCGTAGACGTGAAGCGCAAGCTTTACAGCAGCAAAGTTTACACACTTGTACCACGGGTTCGGAAACAGAACGATCCATATCGAATAAGCCTTCTATAGGCAACAGTGATAATCGTTCTCTCTCTTATTCTACTTCGTGTCAAAATAGTGTTGGTGTCTCTACCAATACCACGGGCAAGAATGGAAAACCTCCTTTGCCACCCAAAACACATCTACATCCTCCCGGTAAAGGTGACTTGCAGCAGCAGCATCATAGTGAACGTAGCACTGAAAAGGGTCCTGCTGCGGCAACACGTAAGCCGGGTATAGCCTCTAAATATATCAAACACTTGCAGGCCCAGGATGATACTACTTCAATGAGTCAATCGGATACTACTATTTCCAATAACTATTCCAAGGGACGTTACTTGCCGGCACCTCAGCCCATATTAAGTGATAATGGCAATTCGGATTCCGAAGCTTTCCAAAGTAATCAAGAGAACAATAATAATTCTCGCGGAGGAGGTGGTGTACAACGTAAGAAACAGTTCTCACGTCAAAATCCGCCTCTACTTCACGTCTCAACAATTCTGAAAACTTTAAATCGGAACGTCCTTGCACACCAGTCGAAAATCTACGACATCAATTGCAAAAGCTGGAAGATTTAGAAGATCAATTTCCCGAAAATACTCTGGATGCTACCTATCATTTGCGCTATCCCTTCTCGGATATATCCAATGCTGATTATGCAGCTGCTGGAGCGGCCAGTTCGGAATTGGAATTCTTTAAACATCGCATACATTTAGAGCGTGATTCGGTGCGTAGAGCCAAAGAATCTTTGCGCACCCAAAGAACCAATTTCCGAGCCAGACAACGAGAGATCAAACAACGTCACAAGGCCATGGTTAGTCGCCACAGTTTGGATCAATTGATACAGGAAGAAAAAGAGCTTACCGAAATGGAGGTTAACTTGCATCGTACCAGAGCTTTATTGGGTGAAAAGGTCATACGTTTAAGACACTTGGAACAGAGTCTTTTGCGTATTTATGAAAAAGAAAAACCTACCATGGATCTATTGGGTGTGGAACAGAAAGAGGATGCCACGCTCAGTGATTTATCCTCACACTCTAGCTCAGGTTTTAGCAGCACTGATTTTGCCAGTGGTGATACACAGAATCTCAATAAACGTAAAGATCTATATCAATTGGAATCGAATGACTGCATTAAGAATTTGGAAATTTTGAATGCAGAAATACGAGAGATTTTAGATTTGTTGGGTAAAACGGGACAACATGGAGGTAAGTGTTCTTTTATATTTGGAATGTTGTTGACTATATTTTAATATTTCTTTTACAAAAGCCTTAAGCGCTCCCATGATCTCACCCTCTGAATTGAATTGGTCACATATGTTAACTACTGGAACGGTAGCAACCAATAATCCCTCATCAGGTAACAACCATATTAATCTACAACAACAACTTAATGCCGCTAGCAATGTTCCTTCCACACTACATACAGCTCATTCTATTCCAACTTTAGCAGATCGTTTGGAAACCTATAGACAACTTGCCTCGGGACGCATGCAGAATTCTATTATAGCAGCCAATACCATAGTCTCACAAAATCCCCGAGCCGTCAGCTATACCACCAGTCTGGTGGAACGTACCAGAGATTTACGCAATTGGTTAAGACAGGCTAAAAATGAACATGAACTCTTGAGCAGCATGACCTTGGGTTTAACCGGTGTACATCCCACTAATCAATTGACTGCCACTGCAGCCTTAGGTGCTAGTGGCAGCGGTGCCGGCGGTGGGGGAGGACCACAAACGAATCTATAATTAGAAGATAAGGACACAAAAATGCCCGGTATGGTATTCTGTTGTTGGCGTAAACAGGCTACATTGGTCTAAACTTAAACGTTTTCCACACACACAAAAAGTAAGGTTAGAAATGAATGGTTGTTTTATTAAAATATTTTATAGCAAATGAGTAAGAATGTGTTAATGGTGCCAAAGTTAATAAGAGAGAATTAATAAGAGTTGTTGCTAAACAAAACCAAAAAGTTTTAAAGAAAACAAAAAAGAGATTTTAAATAAATTTATTAAAAAAATATTAAACTAAATAAATGTTAAATTGAGGGTAAAGAAACAACACAAGAAAACTTTATATTAAATTATACTATAATTATAAAGATTTATTATAGGAAATATTATACAAAAAAGAAAACTTTATAACTTTAATATAATTTTAAAACTCTCTTACACTCTTTCCCTCTCTCTCTCTAACCCTGCTAACTTTATGTTAATTTAACAACAAACAGTATTTTCTTTAAATTTTATTAAAGAAAACTTAACTGTTTGATTAACTAATTAAAAGACTTTAAAACCCCTCCCTGTTTTTTTTTTTTTTTTTGAAAAAAAATAGCATTTGCTATAATAATATTTTTTACATATTAAAAGAAAACTAATAATGTTTGCACAAATCATTTGAAAGCCTACTCTTAGGCAGTAAATTGTTTAAAAAATAATAGCCTACTTTAAGGTGTTGGCTTTCTAAAACGATTTGTGAAATCTTTTTTTTAATATTCCTGTAAAAGTTTTGTGGTTTCTTAGTAAATAAAAAATGGAAAAAATTACTGGTACACGTTAGACTGATTGCACGTTTTATAAGGCATTAAATTGTGTTTATTCTTTTGTAAAACCCCTTTTTATGTTTTTTTAATAAATTAAGAACTAATTTAAATTTTCCAAAATAAAATTATTGTTAAAGTAAATTTTTAAAACAAAATTAGGAAAGTAATAATTATATGATAAAATATGGCCAATTCTAGACTAAATACTTTACATCATAGAGAAAAATGTATAACATAAACTTGAGCTATTAGGAAATTGGCTCAAAGAGAGCTTCTAATACGAAAGTGTCACTTTCTATTAGGGAATCTAAAGTAGTTTGGATTTGAATTAATATAACACTTGAAAATTAAAGTCATTTAGTGTTCTGTTAAGTTCAAAGTGCCGTCACTTCATAAAAAGCTAAGTTTAATTATGTCAACCTAGTGGTTACAGGAGTCTATATTATTCATTGCTTCCAGAAACCTCCCGGTTTCATTGATTCAGTTGAGCATATAATGAAAATTTATCCTAGATATGTAGTTACTTCATATCTTAAAGAAAAGGGAGTACCGAAGTATCGCTCTCTATTCTCTTTAAATGTCAAGCAAATGGATAGTAGATATAACACTGTCTAATCTTCTTCCTCTTCCATATGATAGCTTCTACAGTCATCATTATATTCAAGACCTAGTCTTCCGGCAAGCGTCACTGGTACACAGCACTAATAAAAGTATTCTTAACTGCTCTCTACGGAAGCTTGGAAGCGTATCATAGAGAGGACAGGTATTCTTCATATCGTTCTATTTAAACGTACAATTTTCTCATTCCGCTAGTCTTATTATAATCTAATTTGGAATTTCATCAATGAAGTAGCCAACGCCCTCTCTTCCCCTTCTCCTAGATTCTTAACAATTATGGAAACTTTTAAACTTTACGTCCTTGCATCCCGGTCTGCTGGAGCGTCCAACTCGAACGTTAATCGTTAAGGAAAATCAAAGTAACTTAGCGTACCTAGAGAACCAATTTCCAAGCAAAACAATAAAAGATCAAACAACTTTATAAGGCCATGTTCAATCGAAACTGGAAACGCAACTTATCATTCATGCCCTTCTTTCTCTGATAATGCAGCTCCAATTCGAATGTGAATCGGTAAGGAAAGCCAAAGTAACTTAGAGTACCTAGAGAACCAATTTCCAAACAAAATAGTGATCAATCGAAACTTAAAACTCAACTTATCATTTATGCCTTCCTTTCTCTGATTATGTAGATGCTGGGGGCGTCCAATTCAAGCTTGAATCGGTGTGAAAAGAGAAAGTAACTTAGAGTACCTAGAGAACCAATTTCCAAACAAAACAATAAAAGATCAAACAACTCTATAAGGCTGTGATCAATCACCATAATTTGAATCAATTGATAGAGAGGAAAGAAGAACTCACCGAAATGAGGATGAACTTAAATCGTAAAAGGGCTTTATAGGATGAAAAGACCTAAACATTTGCAGCACATTAGACCTTAACCTCTTGAGTAAATATGAAAAAGAAAAAGCAACGATAATTTTTGCAACTCGATTGGACCTTTAGGATTTCATCAAGAAAGTTCAAGATTGATCGCAAATTTCCATTCTTTCCCAAATGTATTTCAAATTTTTATAACCGACCTTCTACACTTTCTTCGATGTCAGCAACATGAGGAATATGAATTACTTAATCACGACATGAGTTCAAGAACGGATCTACTGCAAGGCTCCTTTCTTTCCCCCACTCTATTTTCTCTTTTCAAAAACGATCTTCTTTGTCAGACTGCCAATCATATCTACTCTTTCGTCGATAACAGCCACATCTGTCAGTCTTATTCATTCAATAATAGACCAAGACCTTTGCAGATTGGAAAATTTTAAGAAATCAGAAACTCTTGATGTTTAGTACATGAGACTACAGTGCGATATCAACTGGACTTAGTGCATTTTCAAGTGTCGACAGAAGCGTCTAAGTCTCTTGTTTTTTAAAATAGTGTAAGAAATAGAAAAACAATTTACTTCACTTCACCTAATCTTCTAACGATTTACGAATAGGAGCGAAGATATTTATCGTAGACAGTAGGCTATTTAACTCTATTATTTCTCTGGAGCAGCGTTCCAATGTGAGGCATATATCACCGTTCTAACGATATGACAATGAAAGGTGTTCCTGAGAAACTAAGGACTACTCACCTATGTTTTCAAAGCTTAGAACGATTCATCATTAAGTAAACTTTCCCACGCTACCTTTACTTTATGACAAGTACATTCCCCGTGTGGCATGGTACCCATATGATGATCAGCTTACCACTGGTAGAATATTCGCTTATGGATTTCTTACAGAGTCCAATACGTTAATAGATTAAACTGTATCTGCAGATCCCCCAGGGGTGAGCACGTTATCTGGATGAATTTTTTCACATCTTGGTGTTATTGCAATCGCGGAGTCAGAGAATGGCCTCTAGTCTGCCGTGACTATAAACTGTTGATGCCAAGGAACTCCACGGCCATTCCTAGAAATCATTTGATTTGCGGTCGAACCAGAGTACTTATTTTAACTGATACCACGAGAGCCGATGGCACGCAGAGTAGAGTTGCGAACGTAATCTGGTGCCGGTTATTAAAGAGTACCCTTCGGACTGCACGTAGAGGCTGTTGTTGAACACAATACAGCATAACTTCGGGAGAAGTTCGGTTCTATTGCCGGAAAGCACCGCTGAGAGGAGTGACTGTGGTGCCACATATAGGGATATTCGGACCTCGTCCTGCTGTATATAAAGAATAAGTGTGCCGAATGTTTTTCTCTATTAATGTGTCGGATGAATGGGAATTGTGCTGGGTTGAATGTTGATGGATGTGCGGTATCTTATTCTCGTGGCATCATTGAATTTCCCTTCTATGTGTAGTGTATGTTCAAGGTTTACTCTGATCACAATAGATTCGTTGTGTTCTCTGTGAGTAAGAACTCGACTTTGGCCATTACATCTGTATGGCTGTAAAGAGGAGTAATGGTCGAAGATCAGATAGTATAACTTAAGGTACTTAAGGTAATTGCTTGTAAATGGTCCGGCATCGCATCTATATGTAGTGTATGTTCAAGGTTTACTCTGATCACAATAAATTCGTTGTGTTCTCTGTGAGTAAGAACTCGACTTTGGCCATTACATCTGTATGGCCGTAAAGAGCAGTAATGGTCGAAGATCAGATAGTATAAGTACTTAAGGTAATTGCAAGCCAAGAAAATTTAAACATCGCCAAGAAAATTTAGACCTGCGTGTTCCTAAGCAATTACAAGGAGGCGGTGGTGGTTAGTCTTTAGTGTACACCGTGATTCAAGGCCGAAAGACAAGTGTTCATGTAAAGTACTTCAAAGTCTTTATCGGCCGATATCTACGTAATTGGCTTTTGGCTGTCGGGAAATACATATGTTAACTCGATTGACGCCAATCCATTTACACATTCCCTGATGAAAAAAACTTCCAACTGGAAGATATTAGTGTAATTTGGAAGACCGTTTCCCAGTTAAGAGCCCTCCGAGTAAAAACAGATTCCAGCAGGGGTTGCTTTTGAACACAATCTCAATAACTTACAATTCCCTATAATTTCTGTTTCTGTAAAGCAATCGGACACGCCAAAAGTATGTGCATAAGCGCCCAATATGTCCAGCAACTTGGTTTTGGTAAATGTGCCTAAATACATTCGTTTCGATCTAAGACCCAACTTCGAGCCTATGCTTCCCCTACTTAGAGCTCAACATTGATATGTTTTGTTGTTTCTATCCTCTATGTGATATTTAAAATTAGTTCTAAAACAAATATAACGCTTAGGTATTTAACTGATTTGGTTCAAATTTTTCCGAATTTTCAAGTACGAGCAATAATTCGATCTCAAACTGCTAGGAATCTGAAAAGAAATTTATCTGTTACAGATAATTTTTATGATGTAAAGTATTTAACAATATATTACTATAAAATAATCACTATAAACTAATAACAAACTGTATTAGTAAAAATTAGTAAATGTTGGGCCTAGAAAATAATGCTTTCTATAAAAATCTTACTAAGTTTAAGTATACTTAAATATATCATAAACTAAGTCATAGATCAGGTCTGTTAAACACTCTAGAATCTAGTCATATTTAAGAGAAAATTACAGAAAATATTTATTTTAGTTATAAATCCAAAAACCAGACAAAATTATCAAAACTAAGGGATTACTTAATCCTCTAAAACTTAAACCTAGACTGGTTAATTATAATTTCATAAAATTTAACCTAGAAAAAACCCTAACAGTTTAAAACTAGTACTAAAATCTTAAAAAAAATCAGCAAAAATTCAAAACATTATGATGAAAGTTAAAACAAATTTATAATTTGTTAAACAAATAGCAATAAATATATTATTACAGAAAATAAAATATATAAACAAGTTACAATACAATTTAAGGCCTACTTTTAGGCTAGGCAAATAAATACATTACTTTACAATACTTTTAGTTTAAATTGTATTGTAATTTGTTTGGTATTAACAAATATTATTTATTAAATTAAAAAAAAAAAAAAAATAAAAAATTTATGTTGTATGTATTGTGATAAATTAATTTTAAATATATTTATATATTTGTAGTTAATTATTATAAAATAGATTGTTGTTTAATAAAAATTTATTTCTTATTTAATTATTTAACAAAAAAAAAAAAAACATTTCACCGTCCTCGCTGGATATAATTCTAATTATAATTTGAAGCTTTATTTTTTGTTAAAAGAAAATTATATTTAAATTTATATAAATTACAAAAAAAAAGTGAAAAAACGAATTAACTTTAAATAAAAAACTTTATTTTTAAATTTAAGCTTTGAGTCTAGTCTAGTAACTGAATTATTATAAACTTAAAAACTAATTATATGCTTTACACACATGTTTAAAACTGTGAATTAATTTAAACAAAAATTTTAGCTAAAACAAAACTTTTAATTTTGTTAATTTTAAGATAAAACTATGATAAATATCTTTAATGACAATTATACATATACTTAAACAGAAAAATATGTTTATATACTAGAGCAACTTATAGTTAAACCAGGTTTAAAGAAAATATTAACAAAAAAAAAAACAAAACATTAGGTTAGAGATTTTAGTAATAAATATAAAAAAATACAAAAAATTGGTTAATATTGATGAAAAATTTAAAAAAGATAACTAACAAGTTAAGTGATTAACTAGAGTTTAAAATGAGTTGTTGTTAACATTAACAGGTTAAGTAATTAACTAAAGTTTAAACTAACATGATGCTAACTTTACAGATTAAATGTTTAGACTAAAGTTTGAACTGAGGTGGTTGTAAAGTTTAAGTTGCTTAAAGTTTATTAAATGTTTAATTAAAGTTTAAACTAACATGATGTTAACTTTACAAATTACATGTTTAACTAAAGTTTAAACTAAGATGGTTTCAAAGTTTAATTTGCTTAGTGTTTATTGAAGTGAAAGTTTAGTTTTACAGATTTAAAGTTAAACTTTTCTTGGTTTAACTATGTAAAGTTAAAAATAAGGTGTTACTAACATTAACAAGTTAGATAATTAACTAAAGTTTAAACTGGAGTGATTCTAACACTACAAATTAAATGTTAAACTAAAGTTTAAACTAAAAGTTTAAGTTGCTTAAAGTTTATTAAATGTTTAATTAAAGTTTAAACTAGCTAACATCATGCTATTACATGTTTAACTTAAGTTTAAACTAAGGTGGTTCCAAAGCTTATGTTGCTTAAAGTTTATTAAAGTGAAAGTTTAGTTTAACCGATTTAAACTTAAACTTATTTTGGTTTAACTATGAAAAAGTTATATAAGTTTGGAATTTGCTTTTTCTAAGATTAACAAGTTAATTAATTAACTAAAGTTTAAATTAACATGATGCCAACTTAACAAATTAAATGTTTAACAAAAGTTTAAACGAAATTGAATCTATAGTTGAAGTTGCTAAAACTTTTAGTTAAAGTTTAGTTTTATTGATTTAAACTTGAACTGATTCTAACTTTACAAATTAAAGTTTAAACTGTAGTGAAAGTTTAGTTTAACTGATTTAAACTTAAACTTATCTTGGTTTAACCTCAAAAAAGTTATATACAGCTTGTAATGAGTTTTTTTTAACATTAACAAGTTAAGTAATTAACTAAAGTTTAAACTGGCGTGATGCTAACTGTACAAATCAGATGTTTAACAAAAGTTTAAACTTAACTTTAAGTTCCTTTAATTTTAC